ATACATACAGGAAGCTATTCGACGCAATTTTATTTCTATTGAGCTATATACTTTAATAAAAAAATTTATATTCTTGAGAGGGTTATCTCATTACAAATTCTTGTTATTGTAAATTCCAAATTTCCTTTAAGAGACAAAAAAAAAAATAGTTAACCCACGTGGCCATGACATTGACAACAACCAAACTAAAATTAATGATAATATTAAGAACCCAAGTTGGTAAGAAAGATGTGACTGATATTTCAACTATTTTATGATTTTTGGTAGATACAGTATTAAAGTTTTTTGAAATCCTAGACATTTATTGCTCCACGTCAGATCTAGTAATGTCGATCATTCACTCTTGACAGTGAACGTTAATGTGTAGTAGGCATGGTGGGATATTAGTACAGGTAAAATAATGTGAGAGTGACTCATTTAAAAGAGAGATTGTTAAAAAATAAAATGTGTGTTTAATCTGAAGTTGATTAATCTGAAGTTGATTAAAATAAAGAAAATATTAATAGGTACAAAATGTAATAGGTATATTTAGGGGTGATAAAATGAGATGATTTTTCGGATTAATCCGTTTAACCTGATATTTTTGATAAGTTGGATTGAGGTTTTCAGTTTGATATTTTAAGTTGGTCTGTCTTGTTTAATCCGCTTTAAAAAGTGGGTCGAGATAGAGAAAGACGGGTTTTCCTTGCTGATTTATTAAAATTTATATTTTTTTTATTAAAAATTAAAATAATTTTAATTATAAAAATAACTTTTATCTTTTAGGATTCTATTATAAATTATTATACAAACAAATTGAATTATAATTGTAACGTTTTTTTTATAACTTTCTAATACATACGTTGATTGAAAATAATTGAAATAAAAGAACAAATGTATGACATGCATAATTATTAAGTTTTCAATATATTAGTTCAAATGTTTTCTTTAAAAATAGATGTTGATTTTAAGAAAATGAGGGATTTGATTAGTGTATACGTGTGACAAATTTAAGATATAACTATTAAAGAATCGGTTAATATAATAGTTTATATAATGTATCAGTGAAAAAGTTCGGTGTTGATATTTTATGCATTACTATTTTATGGACTGTGATATTTTATGCAATGTTATTGTTATCATTATTGATTTTATGTAAATTCTAAATTAGGTTCTTTTAGTAGTTAGTTTTTAAATATGATTAAATGTATTATTTATTTATTTTGATATTTTTTTATTATATTTGAGTTTTTTTTTGTTTTTTTTTTGTAATTGTTCTTTATTTATTAAATTTTTTGAATTGTTTGAATTTAAGACATTTTGAAGTTCTATTATGCGTTCTTAAAAAAATTTCTTTATCAACCTCTTTGATAATAATTAAAAAATAATAATAAACTATGTATTAAAACAAATTGTAAAATTAAAACAAATAAAAAATTCTCATTATTAAACGGGACGGATTTGACTTTTGAACTTGAACTCTTACGTTGGATCACTCCGCCCCATCCCACTTTTAAATGGACTTAAACGGAATGGGCCTAAATGAGACGGACCATCCACTTTGTTACCCCTATATATATCTAATAATTTAAAATTCTTTAAAGAAAATAAAGAATTTGCACGATATTATCAACTAATTATAATTATATTAATTAATAAATTATATTATTATTTTTAAATAAATCAAATAATATAATTAAATGATAAATTTTTATTTAATGATAGTATAAAATTATTTTATATTATTAATATTTATTTTTATTTTTTTTTAAATTAAAATGTTTTGTTAAAGTATCATAAGAATTCTAAACTTTTAATAGGAAGGAAAAAAAACTTAATTTTAATACAGAAAAGAGACCTAATAAAAAGAAAGTAAGAGACTCAGACTTTTGAAATAGACATGGCCAAAACAATTGAACTAGACCAAAATCGACTGCCCCCACTTTAAATCTAACAGAAAAAAAAATTATTTATCTGGAAGTGGATTAGAGATGTCAATTTGACATATCTCCGGTAGATACTCACAAAAACATCTATAATATATTGGTAAAAATCTGCATAAATAAATAAATACACGAGATCGAATAATTAACCACTTAAATAAATGAGTATGAATACGAGCATAATCGTCTTAATATTTATTCTGCTTCATACTCACACACTATATATATTTATATGATTTAATTTATATTATTTATTAAAATAAATTTTTATCAATTCCTAAAAATATATTGATATTAACCCATAATGTAACATAAGTGTCCCTATATTTCATAATTCAATAATAAATATTTTTGAAAATATTTAAATGCTCTTAAAATTTTAAAATAATATAATATTTTATAGTTGATATATTTAATTTTTATTAAAAATACAGATAACGAGTATGAGTATAAGGGTACTTATATATTCAGAAGACATAATTACATATTCTAAAGTTGTTATTCAAGCGAGTATAAACTCAGATACGCAGATTTTTTTCATCTACAAATATGAAGATGGATATTATTATACCCTACTCATCCTCTATCCGTTATCATCCCTAAAAAATAAATACGTAAAATATCTGATTTTAATTACGGGGACGGAACATAAACTCCACCACTATTAAATTTAATTTGTTATTTTTATTATTAGTAATTTTATTACTCATTGTCCTTCTTAATTTTAAGATATAAAATTTATTAAATAAATTTTTATTTTTCAAATGATATATATATAAATATTAAAAGTATTATAAATATTTTTAAAAGTATTATAAATATTTTTAAAATATCAAATATTTAATTTAATGATTATTTTTTATATTTTTTACTATAAAAAAATATGTTTTTAAAGAAAACTCATTTTCAGTATGTGACTGCGTAGGTGGTCAATAGTTATTTAAAAAGTTGTAAGGAGATTTTATTTAGAGAAAAAAAAACGAAATAATATCAATTAAGAGAAAATAAATAATATTAAGAAAAAAGACTTTTTATAATAGAAACAGGATAAAGAACAATGTCTCTCCTATTTTGGAGACGATCACTTCGATCGTGTTTTCTATCTTCTAAAGTCTTTGTTTCTGTTTTGAATATTATAATATTTTTAATTTACATAAGATTTTAAATATTTATGTAAATTTAATTATCATTTTATATAATTTATTTTATAAATAAATTTAAAATAATATAATTTATTTGTTATTTTATATAATTTATTTTATAAATAAATTTAAAATTATATATAGTTTATTTGTTATTTTATATAATTTATTTTATTGTTAAAAAATATATTTATTCTAAAGGATTAATTTTTTAATTTTTTATGATTAGTTTTTAATTTTTTTTACTATTAATTTCATTAAAAATAATTATTAAAAAAATATATGTTTATGGATGTCCATAAAAATCTTAAAAATTTATAGGAATTCGTAAAGATAAAAGGATAAAAAGCCTCCGTGATAGAAATCCAACACGGAAATACATAATAAATTCGAGAGTGGGATAAAGATGGAAATGTATTCTTATTTTTCGTCCCGTTCCATTAACATCTCTAAACATATATGAGAAGAGAAATAAAGAAAAATATAGAATTAAGAGAAGTTTGAGAGAAATGAAAATGTCTATAATAATCTATTAGTAGAACTTTGTTTTATTATATTTAATCATTTCATTAAATAAATTAAATCTTAGGAAGTACGAGGCGTGTTATTGTTGTGGTAACTTACATTTTAAAGTCATTTTTTCTCTAATATTAACTTTTCTACCCTCTTTCTAAAAACATATCCTCTTCTTCTTTCTCCCTCAAATGCAAAAATTTTTTACCACTATAGCTTTTGGAATTGGTAAACATAGATCAATTATGTGTTGACAGTCAATTTATTAACCGAATTCAAAATTCTAGTCGAGACTCTCAAACATTTACTCATCATCTTTTTTTTTTCAACTTCGATTCGTACCTGTATAAAGGTTCGCTAGGTTGTGCTAGTGTTAAGTTTTTGTTTGATAGGATTAATTAGAGTTACGTTCATTTGTGTAATTTCTATTTAGTTTGATTGCACTTTTGTGTAGACTCACTCAATCAGATTTAATGTCTGGTCTTTGTATTCCTTCCTTTTTATTTGTAGTGGAGATCAACTTACTCCAAGAGTAAGTTTTTCTAACTTACTCTAAATTATAACCTTAGTAGTTAATTAAATAAAAATATCAATTAATCATTAAATTAGATTCAATTTAAATACATGATTTGGAATAAGATTTAAAAAATTACCTTAAAAAAAAACATACTTTTTAAAGTGGAACAACGTGGTTCGCAATCTAATGGATAATTAAGCTAAAGCGTGGAAGACATTCATACTGACCTATCTAAGTCCATTTCACCACACAAATGACAAGAAATTGTCATTTGTCCTGTGCACTCAATGATAGAAACCATTCATCAGTGCATAAGAAGCATATATTTTCCCTTACTTTGGGATTTCGATAGTTTTTTTTTCTTTTCAATTTTCATTTATTTGACAGGGCACTCACAAGAATAGTAGATTCCTAGTATGTAACAGACCCTTCAAACACTAACCATAGTCTATGAAAGAAACACATTCAACTACTCAATAACAACCATATAAAACTTGGGTTATAACTTATTAAATAAAATCAGCAACACATGTAGCATACTGGTAAGCAAATGTCAAGAGTTGAACAGGTATACAATCCAATAAATTGCAACAGTGCAACAGACAAAACAGGGGACAAAAATGACTGAGCAACAAAAATTGATCATCAGAAATTCTTACCTGTCTAAATAATGTTAAAAAACAATCTCCACTGCATCAGATTCCCAAGAACTTCAGAGAAAAAAGAAAAGAAAAAAAAGGGCAGAGCTGTCTAGTTGAAGTACCCTAAATTTTCAATTTCAATTTCCAAAAAATTCAGACATTACTTTTGAGCTCTTGATGCCAAGGATATTCTTTGTCCATAATCTTCATTGAAGAAGTGACTGAACAAAAACGAATAAGATTTCAGAACCACACATCATTTATCTCATTCTTGATTTGCCTTATTGATCTCTAGTTCACCGGTCTTGTTGGGAAGTGGACTCTGAACCTTTTTATCATCACCTTTTGTATCACCACCATTTGAAGAATGATTCTTTAGAACCATTGAAATATCAGCCTCAGAAGCTCCTGCAAGCTTAAACCTTTCTGTTGCAGCATCGAGATTTTTCTTCCAACCATCCATTCCTAATTTGCATTCAACTTGGGATTTTTCGAAAAGCATATTGCCCCAAAAGAGATGAATCTGTGATCTCATGACCACTGCTTGCTCAGCGGCTTCTTCAGCCGATACCTCAGTCTGACCGCCAACACCAGAAGCCTCGCCTTCAGTAGTACTGCCATGTTTCTTCCTTCTTCTCAATAATTCTTCTTTCTTGGTTGCATTTGGGTCTTTTAGCTCCTTTGCTCTCTGTTCCTCCAACTTCTCCCACATATCTGTTGCAGCTTTCATCTTCTCCTCCGCACTATTAAACAATTGAAGAGTTTCTGTTGGATCCCAGGTTGTTAAATCTATCTTCTTAGCAATTGCAAAAGACCAATGGAGTTTGGCCATTTCAAATTGTTGCTGGCCCAGAGCCAACAGCCCCTCGTAGAAATCCGGTTTGATCAAGAGTGCTTCCTCGTATTTTTCTCTTGCCAAGGAATACTTTTCCTTGACCCAGTCATAAGCCACTTGAAGTTGTTCTGCCACTACCTCTTTTCCAGCAGTTTCATCTAAGGGAATCCGCTTCCTAGCAGCGCACATGTGTACATTACCCCAGTTGAAGAATGCTAATGCTGCCACCTCCTGGAACTTCGATGCGGCCTTGTCAAATAAATCCTGAGCCTCCTCGCTAGTTACTGTTTCTTCAAGTGCCTCTGAACAAAGCTCCATCCCGAGTTCATGCAAGTCAATATGAGCATCCGGGTCAATACCAACATGTGAGCGGAAAAGTTGAGCAAATTCGAACAACCAATCATCCATCTCCACTTCTTTGCATTCATTATCTCCGGTGGCTCCCGGCTTTTCCTTGGAAGCATCCTTCTTTGCTGTCTTGTCAACCTCAGTAACTTCCGTAACTTCAGGGACAGATTCACCGAGGGAAGAATGAGATCCACTCTCATCTCCCTTGGTCACTTCATTCTCAACGAGTTTTTCTTCCTCTTCTTCCAACAAAGTTGGCTCCTGTTCCGGACTAACCTCAACAATATGAAGTCTCAGCACCGAAATGGAATCACTTTTATCTGATTCAGGCTCTTTCAGCAAATAACTATCAACAAAAGACTCTGCCGATCGGAGTTCATCCGTAGAGGTTATAGTAACCAAATCACCATCACAATCCTTGTACTTGATCAGAACTGAATTCGACGAAGGAAATCTTTTGCTTACCACATCTCTCAGTACTCTGAAACTGCATTTCACCGGCATCTGAGCAAGCCTAATGTCATGATCATAAACAAGCTTCAACGGTCTCCACCGAATAGCAATCTCCGACAGCTGCCCATGAGTATCCTTCTGGTTCACATCTTTCAAGTTACATTGCACTGCAGGACCATTACTTAAAGGCTTCAACACAACATTCTGCTGACGCTTAGTTGTCCCCAGGCCATTTTCAGCAGGCAGTAAAACATTCTGAGACTTGTCAACCTTGTTATTAGGAGAAACAACAGCCCCAACTCCAGAATTCACCCCCTTCTTCGAGCCAGGCCGCGCAGGCAAACACGGACCTAACCCTCCAATAGGAGCACCACGGACAGCTGAAGCACCAAGAGCAGCAGGAGACGGCCGACTGTGAAGATCCTGCTGAGCTTCCTGACGAGGCCCAACCGCAGCCCTCAATCTCTGAGCAATATCCAAAGCATCCTTATGATTAGGATCAGAAGCCAACAACAACTGCACATCCTGCACAGCCAATTCATACTTACCAACAGCCTCAAACGCCCGAGCCCGCCGAAGAAGAGCCCGAACAAACAACGGCTGAACCTGAAGAGCCAAAGTACACTCAGAAATCACAGACTCATAATCAATCGGCTTCATTTGCATCAAACAAGCAGCCCTATTGCTATGAAAAACAGCTCTGTCGGGATGAATTTTGGGCGTGAGTTTAAGAGCATTCTCATAGTGTTCAAGAGCACCAGCATAATCCTTACTCTGAAATCTCCTATTCCCTTCTTCCTTCATTTCATGCGCCTTTTTCAAAAAAATTGATGAATCCAATTCAACACCACCGTTCGGAGTTTGTGCAGAAACTGAATTATCAACAACAACAGCAGCACCACCTTTCTTCCTTCTACCCCCTGATTTCCCCATACTTTTTTCCCTCTCTCAGTTTTCACACACAAAAACTTAAAACAAAATCTAAACCTAAACCTAAATCAAAATTAATATTAAAAATTAACCTGTGTCGATGAAACCTAGGTACGAGGAGGGTTTAAGGAAATTGTACTTACCGGTGGGAAGTTGAAAAGTTGTGAGATGGAAGAATCTAGAAAAGCGAAGGAGTGAAATGAAAATGGTGTTGGTGTTAGTTTAATAGTGGAGAGATATCACTATGGGTTTTGGAAACTGTCTATGGAAGTGAAACCCTAGAAAATTGGGTTAGTTTCATATAGTTCTTAGATGTGGTGGGTCCATCACACGTTTGTTGATTCTTGACCCTCTGATTTGAAGAATTGTCGAAACTTGGTGTTGATCTTACATGTCAAGTACTAGTAGCAACCATGATGCACACGCCCGACATGCTAAATGGACTCCAATTCATAAGGATGAGGTTGTTCAAATGGGCTTTCATACATGTCAATTATATCAAATATACAACAAGAATCTTTAAAGTTTGGATTTTTCATAAGTTTTGACAATAAAAACTCTATATTTTCATCTCCTTTAAAGTTTGGATTTTTCATAAGTTTTGACAATAAAAACTCTATATTTTCATCTCCCATTTTAAATATGTAGTGTTATATTTGTGAGAGTCTCGAGTAGGGACGACTCGAGGTCCCCCCGTCCAGTAAGATATTGATAACACTCTATCATTGTATATATTTTGTCGAAGAATAAGAGAAAAACAAGTCAAAGATGATCAAATTTGAAGAATAATGACCAAAAAATGATGCAAAAATGATCAAGTATGAAGAAATAGGAACTTAGAGAAATTTGGCTGAAAAAGGAAGAGAAAAATACAAAGTTTCTGGAATAATCATGATGGCCATCGCGCGCCATCGTGTGCGCGATAGAGTTGGAAAAGCTACATCGCACACGCGATGTTGTCCATGACGTGTGCGATAGACCCTTTTTCTAGGCAATTTCTGACGTGTTCTGGTTCGATCTGAAGGCTTTAAAAGGGAAATTTTGGTATCTTTAGAGGGGTTCTGCGATATTAGACTACAAGTGACGAAATACAATATTAAAAGTGGGATTTGGAGAGCATTAGAAGTCATTGGAGACCAGACCTTCAAGTAGATTCGTATGCAGCTTTCTTCTTATTACTTAGTATTTTAATTGTATCAGTATGAATAGTTAAACACTCATAGGTTAGGTTTTGTCTGATGAACTTATTTTGAATTTGTTGGGACATATGTCTAATTTGATATTGCATGATTAATTTTAGTTATATTTTCATTTAATTGTCTCTTTTGCTTAATGCATGTTGTCGCTGCTGGAAAAATCAGAGTCACCACCATCTTTTATTTGTCCCAATGACAGGGGAAATAATAGGAAAACCCTAAAGTGAAAGGTAAGGCGGTCATCGCAATCGAATTAAGGGTTTGGGAGTCAGTTAAATGAGGGGAAGATGTTAGGCACCCCTCACCTCTGTTGTACTCAACGGGAACCTTCTCTAGTCTTAGGGTTAAGGTATGTTTGCTAATGGTTTCTTGCATTTATTTCTTGATTTCTTGATTGCTAAGGGTATGTACATTGGTCTTACAACTGTGTGTCTACGTATCTCTCATCAAAGGATGAGAGAAATCATAGTCTTACGTGGTTCGGCTAAATTTTGTTGGTTAGTGTTTTTTATGGATTGATGTTAAGTCTCCTTCGAACGATAAACATATGCTTGCTCACACGGTGGAAACTTATAGCTTGTTTTTAGTTCACGCTTAAGGGACCGGATCGAAGCCTTTTTGAAAATATTTTGATTTGTATTAGGTTAGCGGGAAAAAAGAGGTTTGAATTGGTAAGATGTTTTGAGGATAGAAGAAAATATTTTTGTTGATTTTGATTTTTTTGGTTAATAATCATATACAAATGGATGAATCATTTACAAGTTGATCGGGAAATTATAAGTTATGCACAAGACTAACAAACTAAACAGTTAAGACGTATTTTTTTTATTCTTTTTGACTAAAAATGTACAAAATAAAATAAAATATTATTATTAAAAAATTCCTTAAATAAAAAAACGAAAATTAAAAATAAAGATATAAAAATGCAATTTTGGGTGGTTTTTTTAATGATTTTGAATAAAATTAAAAAATGGAAATAAAGTTAGAAACAAGGAAAAAAATTCAAAAGTGAGAAAAGTGTGATTGAATCCCCTCTCGCTCATGCCTCCTTAAACTCAAGTATTTACCAATTTTACTATCTCATTCATTTGAAATAAAATGAAACAAAAAATCATATAATAGTAAACGATTCAAACAAAATTGGGGTATGAGGGCTGCCCCTATTTAATTATCTTTCGACTCGAGATTGTAGAAGACAGAGTCTTCGCGTCTTCATGGTGGAGGATAATTAAATACTGGAAGACCCCAATTTTGTTCCTTGAGAGGAAAAGTTGTATGAAGGACTAACTTCACTAAGGATATGCGGCCAAGAACCCATCCACAATTTAATGTTGTACCTTCGAGTCTTGATTTTTCCAGATAGGACTTTGAATTGAGTGGACACAAGCTACAAGTAGCTAGCTATGGGTCGGTCAAGGCCTTGCCTCAAACCCCTCTTTGGGGTTTACGGCCTTGCATTTTAGCTCCAAGAAGCTAGCTACAAGAAGGTCAAGGCCTTATCTCAATTCCCTCGTAGGGAATTGCGGCCTTGCATTTTACCCCTACTTAGATGCAGTGAGGACGCCAAAGAGAGTGGGATGGACAAGTTTCATAGAGTGAATGAAATGTTCTGGACAAGATCAGAGAGTGTAAAACATCTAGACGGGGCCATGATAATGGAATACATTTGGGCAGGGCCGAGATAATGGAGGACGTGTGGACGGGGCCATGAAGAAGTGATGTGCTTACCAACACGGGGTTTGGAGTGAGAAATAACTGACACATGGATTGTAATCTAAGATTGTTACTAACGCGGGGATTTGTACATGAATAATTGATTTATTAGGGATATGTAAGGCTGCTTACGACTGAATTAGTGTGATCCTATGCTTGGGAAGTAGTAAGGTTGCTAGTTGGGGATTGGACTGGACTTCTCTGAGCGGTCACAAAATCCTTGTTTATGTTATGCATGTTATGCTTCGTGTATGATATGTCACATGATATACTTGAGTGAAGTGATATGATTAATGCGCGACAATGACTTATGCCATGATCGATCAATGTAATGCACAAGTTATTTGAAATTGAATTGCTTTCTTTAAGGTAGGCTACCAGACGGGAATTGAGGTTAAAAATTAACTTCTAAACTGGAATTGGAAAACTATTCGATGTGAAATGGTTTTGCAAACTCAACTTCCAATCGAAAACTGGATTTGATTTAATTGTGAAACGTGAATTGACTATCAGACATAAACAATATTTGACTTAGGCTACCAGACGGGAACTAGTAAAAGGCTATCAGGCAGGAACTGAACGCCAAATGGGAATTGAATTTGATTTAAATGTTAGATGAGAACTGATTACTAGACGAAAACTGGATTTAATTTAGGCTACCATATGGGAACTGGTAAAAGGCTGTCAGACGGAAACTGACTACCATACGGGAACTTGATTTGTTTTAATTGTAAGACAAGAACTGACTACCAGACATGAACTCGGTTTGACTTAGGCTACCATACGGGAACTGGTAAAAGACTATCAGATGAGAACTGACTACCAGACGAGAACTGACTACCAGACGAGAACTGGATTTAATTGAACTGTCAAACGAGAATTGACTACCAGACGGGAACTGGTGAAAAAGATAGTGTGTTAGATGAGAACTGACTACCAGACGGGAATCGGTGAAAAGGATAATGTGTCATACGAGAACTTACTACCAGATGGGAACTAATGAAAAGGATAATGTGTCAGACGAGAACTGACTACCAGATGAGAACTGGTGGAAAAAGATAATGTGTCAGACGAGAGCTGACTACCAGACTGGGACTGGTGAAAAAGATAATTTTTCAGATGGGAACTAGTTTTAAAATAATTGAGCGTTTAATTTCCAAATGATGCTGGGTATTGAAGTGCCAAAGCAAATTGGGCTTTTGACTGTGGGATTCATACAACGTGAATATGCCAGATGAATGAGATGATATGCATGGCTTGACGCTAAAGTGCAGGGACATGATTAATGCATAATGATGATATATGGAATGACTTTAATGTTTTAGACTTGTTCCCCTATAGTGGGTCGTGAAAGGTTAAGGCTTAGAGAGGCTGCTTATGTAAAAAGGTTGCTTGTCACACGATGGTAGGGTGTTATGCTAGCATGATTTCCCGATACTTGTTTCGAACTAGAAGATTGTTTATGTAGGAGAGGTCTTGCTCGATAAATTGCCCCTTTGTGGTCTGTCTTGCCCCTGTTTGTTGGGCCTTTGTAGAGGTTCACCTTAATATGATTTTAGAAATAGTTTAGCCATAGTATGCACTTGAGATTGATGGCCTCACTATTTTGAACTTTGAAACCATTATGCCCATATTGATTGACTATTTGAATGGTTTGTGCATATTGTTCTTAAGGAGGCTTGTCTTATGATGAGACTCAGAGTGATTTATCCTTGATTAGTCGGATTTTGGAATGATTTGCCCCTGAGGAATCATTTTTTGAATCAGTTTCTTTTGATTGAACCTTGCAACATTCTGCCCTAGTATTTGTATCTTGAAAGATCTGCCTCTGATTATTAGGGTATGAAAGAATGTTTTGAGAAGGAACTTGGATTCCTCAGTGTTGTGATATAGCCTTGATATGGATTTCCCCTAGTATCTAGATCTTGAAAGGTATGCCCCTGATTAACTAGTGTTTGGAGGTGTGACCCAGGTTGGCCAATTCTTAGAACGATTTTCCCCTGGTCAATAGGATTTTCTGATGATGTGCTCATATGATCATTAAGACAAGTGTGTTGGATCAAGGAGCACGGGTAATGGATTAATCAAATACAT